AGCAGATATTTGATTATGCAAGGAAGGCGGATAAAGAGAGGTGGTCGCATTTCGATTTTGGCTGCCATCTTGAAGATCTGTGGTTTTGCCATGCAATCCGGGGCCAGGGCCAGACCGATTGCCCCGCCTCGGCCTCGTCGGCGCCCCTGTACTGAATACCGTATGACATGAAGAGGGTACGAAACAAAATGCGACTACCCTCCTCGGTATTCGGCTATTGGTGCAATTAGTAGGTGGTGAGGGCGGTTTGACAAACAGCGATTTTTGGTGAAATTTGGTCCGGAATATCTGGGCCAATGTGTTCACTCGTGTTCTGGCTACCTACATAAACAATGTAAAATCAGCGCTTGTAAAGCGTCCAGCTCTCATATAGATAAAGTTTCATAAAGAGATAAATAGATAAGAAATGGATAGATAAGTCCTCATAAAACGTCTGCCAATTCCTTATGGGAAAATACGCAAGTGATGTAAAGACCAGGTTTGTCATGAACTGTGACGCAGCGAGCGTATCGGATCCGTTCCCGCGTCAAAATGACCGTTTTGAAAATCCGAATCTTGGGGCGTTTTTAAGTTGATTTTTTGGGGGTTTCTGGTGGTCAAAAAACTGCGGGAAAATTCCTGTGACACCTGGAGCTTTAGTTCTTTCAATTCAAACAATAAAAAAAAATTATGTAACAGGCACATAGCGTTGCTATGTTCTGGAGTGCTAATATACCTAGTCACGTTTTAAGGCTGTTTTGTCCAGTACTTGTGATACTAGTGTGCGGTGACTGCATACGGTGACTGGTAAAGCCATATGCGCGGTGTCCCAGCCCAAGGCCTCCCTTAAAACATTCAGGTTAAAAATGAATTTTATTGAAACAGGGAGTTTAGTACATTTTTAAGATTATTAAAACTTAGGGCAACATTAGTCGCCAAAATTCACGAAAATAATTACTGATAAATATAATTGCTGTTATGTCTTATAAAATTTTGGACCTTGATAAGAGTTGGATTTGACCAAATGGCATGCGTAGCTAATGATAATTTGCAACCCATGATGCTCATTACATGATCTCTGGTCCAGGTCTGACATCTGCAATCATGCATTTCCTTTGAAAAATATAAGAAATGCTTTTTCTATTCCTTCATTGCATGAGCTTAACATTTGATTTTAAGTTTAGTCGTGTTTTACAGTTCTGGGTGTCACTAGAGGAGTGACCAAAAGTGAAATTTCCAAGGCTTACCGTAAATTGGCAAAAAAATATCACCCAGACCTCCATCGCAAACCAGAAGATAAGATCGTGGCTGAGACTAATTTCAAAAAAATCGCTAATGCGTAAGTATTTTCTTCATTTTATCTCTCATCATCCAAAAATTAATTTAATACAATACAAGCAGGGAAATGAGTTTAATAATTTAATTGTGATCTCTTTTTCATACCATCACACCATACAGCCTTTTCAGAGAAGACTAAAGAAAGCGTGGAACTAGGGCTTTTTTAATGCGAACTGTAGAGGACCGTGATGAACTGTGTTCCTTTTTTATCCTAGTCCTCTGTGGTCCAGCTTGTTCTTTGCGTTCCAGTGCAACGCGCAGATTGTTCTTCAGAGCAAGGGTTCCTAGCATTAAGCAAAACTACTTTGAAAGCGCAGACAACCCAATTAGTCGTTTTCCAATGAAAAAAAAGCCCTTTTGAAAATCACTCGAAGTAGGCTCTTTTAACTCATCATTGGGAAATGAAGAAATTGAAAGAATTTTTATGCTTTAAAAAAGTATGCTACTAAACGAAAAGTTGAAAGACTATCAGGTAAATAAAATGCCATCAAAAATGCAATAATCTACTTTCGTCCTTAAAATTGTATCCAAATTTTGTGTACATATTACTCAGATGTGTCACTTAATGTGTAATATGCTCTCATCATCTCTAAAATTGATTACTGTATGAACTCTTGATCTCAATGTGGAAAACCATTTACGGGAATAGCACAAGGGGTATTTGTAAAGTAAGTTAATATTTGTCGTATCTTCTAAACTGACGAAGATGATTCAAATCTGTAAAAAGCGTTCGAATCGCCATACTTTCAGCTTTCTAAAAAATTTCAATTGATTAAATTCGGCACACTTGTCTCTTGCCGCCGCGTGTCCAAAATTCATGCGCGCTGGTAAGTTCGCAGTTGTGAGTGTTTACCTCACTGATATACATGATAAGATTTCATATTACTACTTAAGTAGTCTTGATACTCAGTGCTGCATACTCTAAGATATCATCACCCTAAAAGATTCAGCTCAAATCGGTGCAGGTGTCCATAATGATGTAGTCACCTTCAGTCAGTCTCTTTTCGTTAATCAAGGAAACTCCATTCCGAAAACGTGTCCAATTGTGAGTTGCGCCGTATGACGGCAAAAAAAAACCAAAGTGCTGTGATTATTTATAGAGTATCATATTCTGTTTATGGTGGTTTGTGCATGAGCTATGTCATGGTCACTAAGTGGTGACGTGCATCCTTAGAGGGGCGTGAAAATGTGCACGATGAGCAAAGATCTGGCCGGCCATCTTTAGCGAAGGACGATAAGAAAGTTCTCGCCGTGCAAAATGTTGTGAAAAATGTTCCATTGATGACATTCTTGAACGATCGCCTCCCAGTATCGAAATTCGGAGAACAACTGTGGTAAAACTTATGAGAGAGCAGCCGCATGCTACTGGTGTTGACACTCCGCATGAACTTGAGGGTGCTCGAAACTTGGTGGCCCTAAGAAGGGCCGTTTTAGAGAGTGAAGTTGTGATGGCCGTCTTCGGGATGTCGTCAGGGTTGACTGGTATCTGAGTGTAGGCCTTCACTAGGTCGATTTTGGAGAACACTTTGCATCCTCCCAGGTTTTGACTGAAGTCATATATGTGCCGGACTGGGTATTTGTCGGGGATTGTGCGTGCGTTCAGCGCGCGGTAATCTCCGCATGGACGCCAGCCGTCGGGTTTCTTGGGTACCATGTGCAAGGGAGAGGCCCAAGGGCTCTCGGAGCGTCTTGCAGTACCGTCCTTGACCATTGCTTCAAATTCAGCTTTGGCGATGCGATGTCGATCAGCCAGGAGTCTTCGTGGGCGACAGGATTTTGGAGGGCCAGGGGTCGTCCGAATGTGATGGCAAGTGGAATGCTTGGGCTGTCTGGAAATACCGGATGGACGGGTGAGCTCAGGGGACTCGGCCAGGATTGCGCAGTCTTCGGAGGCGGTGACAGCCTTGACGCTTTCTTGAAAAACTTTTGCCGGTTGACAGTGCGTTTTGAGTCCTGTGATATTGTCCACCAGAGTCTTGTTGTGACAGTCAAGAAGCAACTGGAACTGAGCAAGGAAATCGGAACCAATGATCGGGGTCGCCACGTCGGCGATGACAAAGGACCCTACAACAAAACGGCCAAATCGGCCTAAACACGGAATCGTACGATTTTCTCAGGAATGATAGAGGGTCTTCCCAGACACTCAAAACTGGTCATATTTTTTGCCTAACCCCCAGGGAAAAGGGGGGAGAGGAGGTCAAAGTCAAAACCTTTAAATTAGCATAACTTCTCAACGGTTTGTCGTAGAAAGATGATCTTGGTGTCAAAATTTCCAGAAAAATGAGAGCTTTCAGAATATAGGTATGAAATTAATTAAATTTTAAAATTTGACCCACTTTTGGGGCATTTTACAAGGTCCCCCTTTCGTAAATTTTCGTTTTTTGAGATTTTCGGTTGTTCGGTTCGCACGGATCAAAACAAAAACAATTTCAAAAAAAGTAGAGCGTTTAAGCTTTAAAACAAGCCCAAGATAATCTTGGGAAAACGATTAGAAGCGGAGTTATGAGTCTTCAAAGTTGACGCGGCGCGCGGGAACCTTGTATGTTCCGAGTCTCAAGGTCACCTGCGCGCCCCGGATTGCCTGCAGGTTGCAAGTTTTTGTGTTTTTATGCTTCTGTAGGTCATTTTTAATGTAAATCATTCAATGAAGATAGTTTAATCAGAATTTTTTTATTTTACACAATGGGCCTTCGGCGAGGTACACAACATTAAGGTCAAAAAAATTTAACTGCGTTTCAAATAGCCCCCTTAAGAATAACTGAGACTTGTTTTGAAGCTCAAAGCTCGTCTGTTTCTACGAGAAACTATTTGGCTTTACCAAGTGAGTTCCGTCAAGCGCTGTACCTTACAGCTCAATTAAAAAATTTTAAAATTAGGGGTACCCCAAAATTTGGCATCAATGGGTTATAATTTCTAAATGGTTCAGTTCTGTATGGAGCATATGTATATTTGAACTGAGGGTCCATGGTTTCTTCTAAATTATAAGAGCAGAATCATCATCGTCAGCAAATGTTTAATGAGGTATGATGGACATAATGGTTGATACACTAACCCCCCTCTCGCTCCTCCCGTAAAATTAAAAAATTTCGATTATTCTATCTTCATTGAATGATTTACATTAAGAATGACCTACAGAAGCATAAAAACACAAAAACTTGCAACCTGCAGGCAATCCGGGGCGCGCAGGTGACCTTGAGACTCGGAACATACAAGGTTCCCGCGCGCCGCGTTAACTTTGAAGACTCATAACTCCGCTTCTAATCGTTTCCCCAAGATCATCTTGGGCTTGTTTTAAAGCTTAAACGCTCTACTTTTATTTGAAATTGTTTTTGTTTTGATCCGTGCGAACCGAACAACCGAAAATCTCAAAAAACGAAAATTTACGAAAGGGGGACCTTGTAAAATGCCCCAAAAGTGGGTCAAATTTTAAAATTTAATTAATTTCATACCTATATTCTGAAAGCTCTCATTTTTCTGGAAATTTTGACACCAAGATCATCTTTCTATGACAAACCGTTGAGAAGTTATGCTAATTTAAAGGTTTTGACTTTGACCCCCTCTCCCCCCTTTTTCCCTGGGGGTTAGGCAAAAAATATGACCAGATTTGAGTGTCTGGGAAGACCCTCTATCATTCCTGAGAAAATCGTACGATTCCGTGTTTAGGCCGATTTGGCCGTTTTGTTGTAGGGTCCTTTTCCAGTCAAAATCACGGCGTAAACCGAGGTGCAGATTGAGTGGAATGTGACCATAAGTTCGGATCGTAGATTCATTCGCTGCGGTGAGTTCATATCTAGTGTCTTGTAAATTTTGCTGCACGAACCGCCGGGGGTAGCAGGAGACGTCTGAGCCAGTGTCGACCAGAAATCGCTTCTTGCTGCGGGCGTCAGTGACAAAGAGGCGGTTGGATTCTGTGGAGCAACCAGCGGCCGCCACTACTGGTTGCCGGTGGAGTTTGTCGGCGTGGACTTCGGTTTGTAACTGCAAGGTTAACGGCATGCACGTGCTTCATCGCCAAACTTGTGATGGTAAAAGCAGACACCATTACGACGGTCGTTTTCTGAGCGGGAACGAGAGCGTGACCGTGAGCGAGACAGGTCGCGATGCAACTTTTTCTGACCCATTTCAAGCTGGTCAAGTCGTTCTGTCAAAGCTAAGAGCTTCCTCTCCAGTTTGGATGTTTGAGGCTCAGGTGGTGCGGTAGCGGCAGCGGCACAGACAGATGGAGCCGGGACAATTTCCAAAATTCGGTCTGCGATTTTGGCCAGTTCATCGATTGATGTTTCTTGCGAGTGCGTCTGCAAGATAGCTTGCGCCTGGCGAGGTAAACGTTGCAGCCAGAGAGTTTTCATGAGTTGCTCATCTACTTTCGTAGTGCCAGTTAACGCTGTCAGCCTACGCAAAAATTGCGAAGGTGTACTATCGCCAAGGTCTGCTTCGGTGAGTAGTTGTCGAACGCGGTGCGTTTTAGATTTGGACAGGCGAAGGATCAGCTCGGCTTTTAGCTTGGAGTATGGCGTGTCAGCGGGAGGTGATACAAGAATGTCCTCCACTTCGTTAGCAACACGGGTCTCCAATTGAGATGATACGAGAGAATATCGCATCATCTCGTTTGACATGTTCCAAACTGTAAAAATGGATTCTACCTGTGAAAACCATAGCTGCGGTTTTTCTAATTTAAAAGGAGGTAGCTTGATGTTTTTCTTTTCGCCAGTGTTAACGGTGGCGATGGCGGGTTGCCTTTTAGCGAGTTCTGCCTGGTAGAAATTCATTTCCTCTCGCATTATTTTCATCTGGTCGAGGAGAGCCAGATTCTTGTCGTTCGCTGCCTTCAGAGCTGGATCGGTATCGTCGAAGTTCTCTCTTCCTGTAGCCATGCTGAGGAGTGTCCAATTGTTTGAAGAAGCGGTGACTTTCAGTGGCAACGGAATGATGATGGAAGTAAGCTAAGCTGCAAAAGATGACAATGTCCGTGGAAGAATGTTCAGAAGGATAGGCGTGTTCAGAGTCGGAGGTCACCACTGAGGGTGCTCGAAACTTGGTGGCCCTAAGAAGCTTCTATACTCTCTGCTAAGAAGGGCCGTTTTAGAGAGTGAAGAGCTGGAGCAGGTCTGAGTGGTGGTAGAACAAGCGGGAGCGCAAGGCCGTGCCGGAACGTGTGGCCGCGGGACAGTGTCAACGCACGGTGAAACATGGAGCCGGGAGTCGGCCGCTATATAGCGCCGTGCGCTAGGCGCGGGAGCCAATGGGAGGCCAGATCGGTGAGCGCGGCAGTGCGAGGCGCTGATTGGCCGATGAAGTGGCAGGAAAGCTCGGTGAGCTTGAGTCGCCACAAACTGCAGTCCTGCGCTCTATTGTCCGTTGTTGTCGTCTCTTATCCATGTTTATTTAACATATTTAAAACTCTCCTTATCTTTGGACAAAGAAAGTTTCAATCATTATAAAGCGGATAATTTTAGAAAGGAAAAGAAACAAATGAAAAAAAATAAATCAAAGTTATGTGAAGTGGCGTTAATAATTGAAGAACTCCTTTGGAAAAGGGCACATACCGAAAATTTTTTCTGTAAGAAAAACGTATTTGAAGTTTTCATTATTGCTCTCTGGCCACTCATGGTGACTTACATTGGAACCTGGACACTCAAATCAAAGTTCATACACCCAAGGATGAATAACAGCCATCGATAAAATTTACACTTCTTTTACTGTTTTTTAAAATTTTCTAAAATTTTCCGTTAAGTGCCCTTTTTCCGGAAATTGACCAGTGGTCATAGGTTTTGACTGTTCTAACTTGACTTATAGGACATGAATGAGTTTCTATCAAAAATAAAGTTTATTAATCTTTTCTGTTCGATAAAAAATGTAAAAAATATTCTTTGGTGTCAAAAGCTTCCCCCGCCCGTCTATTAGGACCACGCGCTATCTCCACAACATCGCGGCGGCCGTACCCAGAGGTAAATAGATGAGGTGCGTCATGAAGTAGCAATTTGTGGCCGACTATGCTACCATTACAGACGTACTTACACATAACTGGGCACGGGAAATTGGCTTAACCACAATATCCAAGAAATAGGGCACTTACGCTACCTGCCCTTTTTTTGCAGATAGCCTGTAACTTGCAAGTGGACCTCACACTCATGCCTTCTCAAAATCGATCGGCGTTCAGCCACATTGTAGTTCATGAACATCCATTAGACACATCTTTCAGCAGCGTTTGTGCCAATGCCCCCCGGAAAAGCGAAAATTGACCCCAGTTTTTTCACCTTTTTCGAGGTGAGCGACGAAGTGAATGACGGTGACGCGCCGTGCGCATATCATAGATTTGCTTCCCGCACCGTCACACGGTGGAGCGGTGGATGGTAAAGGTCGTACATAGGTCATTTCGGCTGAAGAGTGATCCTTAAGGGTTTTATTTAAAGGACTAGCCGTGATTACGCCTAGCCAGAGAGTGCCCCTGGACCCCTGGTTCTTCGCTTCGCGATGAACTTGCCACTCGTTCCACACGCCGACCGCGCCCCGCAATTTTTAACTGTAATGAGATGACAATATCTTTGTCCTCATCTCCTTTTTCATCAAGTTTCACAGAAACCGATGGTCCTGGAGCCGAGACAGCTTTACAGAGCGCCATCTTGGATTTTGAAATTTTGAAAATCTAACCAAAAATTCGAGTTTCCCGTCGAAAAATACCCCCTCGTACTGAGTTTCACGAAAATCGATCGAACATCGAGCCGACTTAGCATTTTAGGCAACGGCCGCCATCTTGGATTTTAGAATTTTTAAAATCTAACCGAAAATTCGAATTCCCCGTCTAAAAATATCCTGTGATACAGAGTTTCACGAAAATCGAAGGAAGAGGAGCAGAGATAGCATTTTAGACCACGGCCGCCGCACGGTGGATCGAGTCAATGGTACAGGTCGGTCATGGGCGATTCGGGCGAATCGCATTTTTTAAGGGTCAAAAGTGTTCCTCGAGAGTTATATTTTAAGGATCTGACATTGATTTGGAACGAAACATGTTCATTTTTGTGACAGAAGGCGTCAAAGGGGGGCTTTGCGTAACTTTTTATTTTAGCGAAAAATCGTCCGAGTCTTTCTATTCCATTTAACTTGCTTCTGTTTAAATTAATGCTAATTTCATTGACATATTCTTGTTCTTCAGAGTCTGGAGAACACATTGCACTAGTAATTTTTTGTATTCGGCCCATTTTTTCAATGATTATGTTTGCGCTAATGTGCTCATCTCAAAAAGCGAAAAAAAAAAGTTTAGGTAAACTTTTAACTACCCATCCGCCACCATCCGCCAGAAAAATTTGTATAGGCATGTTCGGAGGAGTCCTGAGAATACGATCCCGCAAAATTTGGGTGCCACTTTGCGCCACTTTGGCCGTGACGTCACTTTTTCTGTTGCGTTCTGAGATTGTGCGCGAGCCTTATCTCGAAAATCAAGCGACCGGTTAGCTGCCGCGGCATTTAGCTTGCTTCTGTTTAAATTAATGATGGTTTCATTAATTGATTCTTATTTTCCAGAGTCTGGAGAACACATACCGCTAATAATTTTTTGTATTCGGCCCATTTTTTCAATGATTATGTTTGCACTAATGTGCTTATATCAAAATGCAGAAAAAAAAAGTTAAGGTAGACTTTTAACTACCCACCCGCCACCATCCGCCAGAAAAATTTGTATAGGCATGTTCGTAGGAGTCCTGAGAATACGATCCCGCAAAATTTGGGTGCCACTTTGCGCCACTTTGGCCGTGACGTCACTTTTTCTGTTGCATTCCGAGATTGCGCGCGAGCTCTATCTCGAAAATCAAGCGACCAGTGAACTCTCGTAACTGCTAAATGACCCAGGTAGGTATGATTCCTGTTCGTCGGAAACTGAAAAACAAGTTTCACCATCAAGACGTGCTCTTTGGCCCGTTTTTCGTATTTTCATTATTTCCTAAACTACATATCTATAGGAGAATTAAAAAAAATATCGGGCATATTTTCACTCGGATATCCCTTTATATCCCTTATAGAAAGCTTTTTTGGGACGTATGCGTAGATAGCTTGAGGAAACTTTTAGCAAGTAACCCCCCCCCCCCTTACTTGCCTGGCCCCTGACTATGATGCCATTTTATCTGTTGGCCTTCGCGATCGCGCGCGACCGGTCACTGGTGAACTCTGATAACCGATGCTTCTTTCAAATACGTACATATTTTTTTTTAATTTGTCACCGATTTCGATGTAAACAAAGTGCAGTCAGTGAGAAACTGATTACACTGCGAGTACGTTTTAACGTTACAAGTCCGGGAAATATTGGAATTTTTGCGGTTTTTTGCGTTGCTTGTTTTTTAAGTTTGATGCGGTTTGAGAGCGGAAGACGAGGATGAGAGTGATGGGGAACTGAATGTGAAGAAGAAGAAGAAGACGAAGAAGAATAAGGAGAAGCAGATGACAGATGACTGTTACATGTTTAAATTTGTTTTTCTTTTCTTTTTTTTTCTAGCCATCTAGTGTTTTTCCTACTCTAAATCCCTGTTCCGTCCTCTGGATGTAAATATGAATTTAAAGTAAAAGTGATCTTGAATATTTTCAAAGAATTCATAAATGTATTTCATTTGTTTTCTCACCGATCTTTATGCATAAGAATGATATCTTATAACAAAGTTTCGAAATTAACTTTGCAGTGAAGGGAATTATTTTTCTGATGCAGCAGCTCATAACTGGGGAGGTATTTTTGCGTATTTGTGACACTTATTAGTAAGTTTTCACAATTTTATTCAGAATTTATCCTCTTCCACCATGAAACATTAAAAACTCCGTCCTACGAGGTAAAACACAGACGCCTAAACTTTGCACCTGTATAGTTTTCCCGACAAAATGGACAAATACGGGTCTTCAGGTACGTTGTTCACCAAAAATAACATCAAAAATGAATTCTACGCGAAAAATTACAAAAGATGAGTGGTTCATAATCGATCAAATGACCAGGAATATTCGTTATCCTCGTAACATTGGAAGCGCAACGCTCCATGACCGACCTCTCCCATTGACTCGATCCACCGTGCGCCGTCTTGGATTTTGAAATTTTAAAAATCAAACCAAAAATTCGAATTTTCCGTCGAAAAATATCCTCTCATGCTGATTTTCATGAAAATCGATCGATAATTTTAAAAATCTGACCAAAAATTCGAGTTCCCCGTCGAAGAATACACTCTGACACCAATTTTCACAAAAATCCGTCGAAAAATACCTCCTAAAACGTGAAAAATCGTCTGTAAGGCTGTTACGTCACGCGACAGGATTGAACCTGTTCGGTGCGGTACGCGTAAACAACCGCGTATCCCCAATGCAATACTTTTCGCTGTTGCAGGCGTCCTAGGCAGCGGATTGGAATCGGAATAATTTTGATCAACTCCTCACAACAATAGCTAAGCGTGCACCAAGTTTAAAGAAAATCGCTTCGGCCAATTTTTTGCTAGGGGGGGGGGGCAGAGTGAGTAGTAACAGCAGCTTTATATAGAGTAATAACTAGTCGTNGGGGGCAGAGTGAGTGGTAACAGCAGCTTTAAATAGAGTAACAAGTTTAAAGGGAATCGCTTCGGCCAATTTTTTACTAGGGGGGGAGCAGAGTGAGTTGTAACAGCTTTATATAGAGTAACTAGTCGTGATTAGCTCGCTTTACGAGCTGACACGTCTAGCCGGCGAGTGCCCCTGGACCCCAGTTCTTTGCTTCGCGATGAACTTGCGACTCGCTCCGCGAGCCGCCACCGCCCCGCATAGTTTTTAACATTGATAAGAAGACATCATCTTTGTTTTAATCTTCTTTTTCACCAAGTTTTACAGAGGTTGATGTTCCAAGAGCCGAAACCGCATTTTTGTGCGGGGCCGCCATCTTAGATTTTGAAATTTTGAAAATCTGACCAAAAATTCGAGTTTCTCGTCAAAATGTAACCTCTATTACCGAATTTCACTAAAATCGATGGATGATGAGCCGAGACAGCTTTTTAGGCCACGGCCGCCATTTGGGATTTTGAAATTTTGAAAATCTGACCAAAAATTAGAGTTTCCCATCGAAAAGTACCGCCAGATACCGAGTTTCACGAAAATCGATCGAACAAGAGCCCACTTAGCATTTTAGGCCACGACCGCCATCTTGGATTTTTGAATTTTGAAAATCTGATCAAAGATTCGAGTTTCCCGTCGAAATGTAACCTCTAATACCGAATTTCAAAAATCGATGGATGATGAGCCGAGACAGCTTTTTAGGCCACGGCCGCCATCTGGGATTTCGAAATTTTGAAAATCTGACCAAAAATTAGAGTTTCCCGTCGAAAAGTACCGCCAGATACCGAGTTTCACGAAAATCGATCGAACAAGAGCCCACTTAGCATTTTAGGCCACGACCGCCATCTTGGATTTTGAAATTTTGAAAATCCGACGAAAAATTCGAGTTTTCCGTTGAAAACTACCCCCGGTTACTCATTTCCACAAAAATCCGTCGAAACATACCTCCTAAAACCTTAAATTTCGTCT